TGTAGAGCAGCATCCTCTGCTGGTTTATCAGAAAATATTACAAGACAGAACGTAGCTTGCCCTCCCTCTATGAGAAATCAGAATAGGAGCATCTCCTCTATGAAGAGAGTTTTTAAAATAAAAGTCAAATAATAAATTTGGTTTTGCTTGGTTAACTTCACCAGCAAGACAAAAGGAAGCAACTTTCAGGAAGCTATAGCCAATATTAAGTCCTATCGTAATGAGTTCCAATCAACTAGGAATAAATGCTGGAATTATAGTATGTTACTGACCTGCCTTATGAGAAAGCCAGATATGACCTGATGTGAGCAAGAAATGACAATAATTTGGCCGGAACAAATGTTTTTTAAAAATACTTTTGTAGAATTTGTATCGGTTTTGTAATTAAGGGGTAAACTGGGGATGTAAAATTTCAATTATTTCGCTAATTGAATAGTCGATGCAATTTGCATTGATTATTCGATTAGTTGATAAAGGTGCTTCTGCCTTTGAAGTGTAGCAGGGCTGTTGCTACACTTCAAGGCGAAAGCACTGTGGGGAGCATGGGGCCAGAGGGGGACTTGAGCAGTTCCCCGCTGGCCCCATGCTCCCTGTAGCCTTTCAAAGTGGCAGCACCGCATAGAGCCGAGGATCAGCGGGGAGTCCCCAGCTGACTCCGGGCTCCATGCAGTGTTGCCACTTGGACAATTCTGCGTGCAGCCCAGGCTTCCCAGCTGGCCCTGGGCTGCATGTGGCATTTCAAAGAGGCAGCGCTGCGTTGAGCCCAGGGTCTGGCCCCAGGCCGTGCTGCCACTTTGAAGCACTCCCTCTCTCCCTCCCCCCGCTGCCTCTTTCTGATACCCTCCTCTTCTGCCCCCCCCCCTTGCTGCCTCTTTCTGATAGAGGTAGCAAAGTGTGTGGAGGGGAGAGAGTGACTAGGAAACTAGTCGTTCACATCCCTAGGGTGAACTATCCATACATAGTCAGGGTAAATGAATGTGTATTTGAATATTAAATGAAGGCATCAAGTTAGAACACAAGTCCAAATAGAGCAATTGCCTCATTAAGATTTAATAAATAAGAGACATTTAGCCACCTTTCCCTAGAAAGAATCCCTCAAATACAATGCCAGGAATTCCAGGAGAACATCTAAGATGTTCAGTGTATATAAAGAGAAATTCCTAGAAATCTACTTTATATTGTAATAGGCAACACAAAAACAGTTTCAACATATACACTTCTTAGTTACAAAATAATCTGCAGAATTGAATCAAACTCCCTTATATGTGCTGTTTTGCAGAAGCACACACTATGTGCCTGGACCTCACACAAGTCATTTGCAAAACTAAAGAAAATTCCCTGGGTTTAAGAATAGATTCCACAGGTCATGACGGCCTTTTGGCTGAAACAAGGAGCATTTCTACAATAGGGTTTTTAGCCAGTGGGGTAAGCTACCTTAGTACAACATCTGCTTTACACTAGTGCAGTGCATTTACACTACGAGTGTGCACCAGTGCAGCTACATCGATATAGCTTCACTAGTGGCTAAAATCCACTTGAGTAGGCCAAGGATTGCACTGCTCAGGAGCTGCCTGTTAGCTATAGCCAATATGAATGAAAGCTAAAATGCAAGACAGAAGGCTTTGAGCATTGATGGGATCAGGCTGAACAATTTACTTTTCACATTATAAATTTACCTTTAGCCAGGATTATCAAGTTTGGAATCTCTAACTTGCCCTGATGAAAAGAGAAAGACTCACTTCTACAGTAAAGTTTAGAGGCCAGAGAATTTAAGCGACTGGAAGATATTTTTTGAGAAACATTTTCTGTACTTACTTTCCAACAATGGGTACTTTCAATGATAAAAACATGGGGTTTCTCCTTTACAGGAATTTACCTCAATACAGTAAGGTATACTGAAATCTTTTAGAGTTTCTATTGTTAGTTTATGAGTAAGTGAATCTGAAAAGACGTTTTCCTAATTTTAAAATGTTATGCTCCATTATTTAATCTTTTGAAGTTACACTGAACCTTTTATCTGAAGGATTTTCAGAATTTTACACACATCTGAAGCCATTTTGCAGATGGGAAAACAAGCATCAAATTTAAATGACTCAATCAAGGAGTCAGTGAGAGTGATGGCAGAGCTGGGAACCCAAGTCTCCATACTCCCAGTTCCTCCAACCTATCTACTAGACTCCCTTATTACATAAGCGTTAGTTTATATTTCAAGTCTATAGCAAGAACTCTTAAGTGTCCTTAGAATAAGTTTCTGTGACATGGCACTGAAGCAAAATGTTGCCTCCAAACATACAAAAAACCCTCTTTCTATTAAGACATTGTTTTGAAAAAGAAAACGAAACTTGGAAAATGACATTTTTAAAGGTAATTCCCTGTTCTAGTTACAAAAGTTTGGCATGTAGATATACATTAGAAAGATCAGATCCCTCTCTCTAAAAGCATAAGAGACTATCAGTATAACGTTTTACATCTATTCAGATTCAGCCCATTTCATTCTCATGTCTAGATTTTCAGCTAAGCAGATGGAAAAAAAGGAATGTCTGAAAATAAAATTAATATAGAAAGGGAATTAACTTTAATCTACATTCAGAATAGAAGGTTCAAAACTTCTTCATGCACCTACTGACTCTTAACTTTTGCAAGCAAACCAAGGCTGCATCCCAAGTCCAGCAAAGTCTGACAAATTAGCATTTGCTGAAAGTTATTAGCTTCAATAAGTTTTGCTAAATTAGCTTTCCTGCTTTGGAGTTAATACTTATTGAACTCCCTGCCAGCAACTGCTGCCTCACGCATTGCTGGCAGCGGATTGCATGTGCAAAGAAGAAGAAGAAAAAAAAAGCTCAGTTCTTGGCAATAAGGGGTGAAATGGTTTCAGTTTTTTCTTGCACCCTGTCATTTTGCTTGTGAATAAGTGTTAGTCGGGTTCTTAGGGAAAAAAACAAAAACAAAGTGTGTTACATACGTGGACAAAAACCTCACAAATCTGAACATAATTAAATTGCTGAATGCATACCCACAAACCTAACCCTACTGCTGTGTTTAACCATTTAACTTCAGTGGATCAAATGCAAAATCTTTTTCGCCTTTAATTGATCACACAACAGATATAACTCCGGTGTTATAGTTTAAGCATGCAACATGTCATAGGTAACAAAATTGATTAGGCAACTGTATATATTAAATAAATCTTTGTGATTGAATAAAAAAAAAAAATCACAAAACCAATTGGTGAGAACATGTCTGCAGGCCCAGCTCTACATCTGTTTTTTATACAGCAGCAGCCAAATTCACAATTGATAGATATTGCACCTGAAAGACAAGTGCAGTGAGAAGGAATATAATCACATTAATGTTTATGATAAAGATATGACCTCCATGTGTTACATAAAGTGCCTTTAGAGTTGGTGCAGTTAGAAACAAAACAAAAACAAAAAACCCTGTTATTTAGGTATCATTAGCAAATGCATACAAATAGGAAACAAAATAGATCTGGTTTCCACAGTTCCAAATCAAGCAGTGCCAGGTTTCATTCAAAATGCCTCCATTGAAAATAGGAAAGAGGAAAGAATAGTAAAGACTCACTGTACAAAGTTAATGATAGGGTTAAGCATTTTTTCCTATAATGATAATGCCAACCCTATCCCAAAATGTTTTATAGTACACATAAATATTACCAAGAAATAATGAGGTGATTTCTTTATTGACTGTGAGATTTGGCATGTTACGTTATGATCCTCTCTCAGCTTGTAATTCTTCTATTGATTTATACAAAAATGTAACATCCAATCTGTACTATTTCTTCTGGATACAGAAAATATTAATGTGTTCACCTAAAAGCTTTTAGAATTGCCATTAATATATTCCATCTGCAGAAAATTTCTCACATTGGTTATTCCAGCTTTTCTGATAGGTTGGGGACACAAGGCTCAAAATGTATTTTGAAATTAAAAATGCCACTGGTGTCAAGGCTGGTATGAAATTCAGATAGGAAAAATGAACATTTTTCCTAGAACATGGCATTTTTAATTTTGATTAAATAAAATCTGAAAAATGTCTAAATCATTAAAAAAGTAAACATGAGTTGTAATACTATACCTGTAAAGTGATTAATTCCATTCATTGTCAATAGAAAGTATGTAAAATATTTATTAAGGGCTTTGCCTACAGAGGCACAACATAAATAGAACAAGTCCTGCTGACATGTAATTAGAGTACACGTCAACCAGTCACGTCAACCAGTTGGTGATTTACTGTGGAAACATCAAGTGTTATCCACAGGTTGTAGTTCAAATTTCTGAATTTAGGCAACTGCACTGTAGAAGAGTTTGCTCCATGAACCAAGATTGTGCAACAGTTCTGCCATTGTCACTGGTTATGTCCATTAGGCAAATTCAACAGTTCAAGCAGAACTTGCTCGATGGAAAAAAAAGTAGCTGTTTTAATCCACTCCTTCAAATCCTTGAGCATTTTCAACTGCCATAAGAAGCTTCTCTCGTAAATCTTCAAAAGTTTCATAAGGAGGTAAGTCAAGGCGATTAAAGCTGAAATTGAAGGAGGGGAAGTATCATTTGACAATCAATTTACAGTGTATAAAAAATGTGAAAACTATACTGAGGTCAAATAATTTGGAGGCCTTAATAGGATCACACATGCCTGATGTCTCAAATGGAGCCATCTACGTAATTTCCTTTCCCCCGCTAAAGCTCTTGTGCTTCTGGTTACATAGATAACCAGCTCTTTGTTCCCATTCAGACCTTAGACTGGAAAACTGTTCAAATACACTTGGAAGAGAAAAAATAATGTATTTTAAATCCTCTCTTTCTATAGGAAGCCAGGCTTCATACAGAGCTGTATCAGTTCCAAAGACTCAGTAGAGATGCATTGAATTTAAAGGTTAGATGCTCATTTTCCCTCCAGGAGTGGCAACAGCAACAACAACAACAGAGAGGGAAGGCTCTTTGAGAACATCCTCAATATTTAATCGGTAACTAAAACTGTGATCTATAGGAAGTTCAGTTGCCTGCTATAGTGTTCTGTATGGAAAGCTGATTACTATTAAATGCTGCAAGTTATATTATCTATAGAACACCAAAGAATTTAAGCCCTATTTATTTTACAGAGCTTCCATGCATGGAAAACATTCACAATAATTAATTATTTTGGTTCTTTGTTTGCTTCACGATTCTCAGTGCCTGTCGTCTGAGTTTTATGGATGCGTCTGGCTAACTTAAATTAAGTCAACTGGGCTGAGGTCTCAGCTTTTCAGTGAATTGTCTAACAAGTCAGGAGCATATGGAGTCTCCTGGAGCCAGCTGCTTCTGTGCACAGTGTTTTTCTGTGATTGCGCTTTGTTGGCGCACACATTTTTACAGAGCTCCTTCTATGCACATTTCAAGGAAGAGAATAAAAGTCATTCACTGAAACCAAACCCAGGCCTGTGGGGATGAGAGTAAGAGCTTCCTGCCAGAGTAGTACTGGTTGAGGGAGAGAGGGAGGGAGGGAACAAGATTTCTCAAGTAGATTTTAGCACTAAAAGTGAAAGCTGTATTTGTACAATTGCCAGTCCCTCTTTCCCAAGTCATGTATCTGTTTCCATTCATTAGTTACTCAGTAAGAGGAAGGGGCAATAATTCTGCCAGGCATATGAAATAAGGGCGGGAGTAGTAATGAACTTCTAATGCTAAGAACTTTTCTTCTTTTTCTCATGCCACTCAGAAGTACTGACCCCCCTGTACAAACTCTCGTTCACTTTAAATAGAGTCCCATGCACTATTCTGTAGCATTCAAAGCTCACCATTGCTTTCAAGTGACAGAGCAAGCTTTAGGATGCCAGGACGTACAGGTGTTTTTCAGTTTAATTTAAACTAGTATTTTTATGGTGGAAGAGAAAGCTATTCAGGCGGAAATACTGACATGGCAAAAATGCGGTACTTGGGGCTCAATCAAAAGTGTTGAGTGCTCTGACTAATATAGCAAAGCACTCACAAGCTTCAAATGATGTGGTGTATCAGGTCCCACTGCTCGGTACCTTGTAGGATTAAGCCATTATCCATTTTGACAAAGATATATTTGAGATAGAAAAAAAAAGTCTTCTAGTAGAAGGGATTAAAACTGTAATAGCAGACAGTTCCATCTCATTAGCACACTGCTTTAATTGCCAAGTGCTTAAGGCAATTTGCAGACTAATGAGTGCCTTCCAATTTGATACCAAATTAACAGTGGCTGTACAGGAGTAGCAATTGCTTGAAATTAAGTGAAAAGACCTTCAAGTAGAATCCTTTCTGTGGGACCAGTACATTTAAACATAGCGACTATAGCCCAAGAGAAATGCACCCATTTTTAAGGGACAACTGAATCAGTCCAAGAACAGAAACTCCTTTACCCAAAGTATGTATGATTTAAACTGTGCATCTACACTAAAAGTTTGAACCCATTAGTCCCCTAATATAGAACAGCCTTTAATGTGTTGAATGAGAGGATTAAACAAAGAACCTTCTGGAAACTAAGAGAAGCAGTTTATAACAGACCGAAGTTGAGCTAGCTAGTTCCTGGAATTTTGCCAGGTTCAGGATGGCTGCAGTTTGGGAGCAGCTAATCCTAAACTACTTGAATGTTTAGAACTGTGGTATGAATGCACAAGGTAGGAGATTATCCCATTTTATAGAAATTCACCTCTATAGGACAAGGTCATGATCCTGAGATACAGTATGTTCCTGTCATATTTGGTCACCAGTATCCATCCTTTCTTGGCAGTGTAACAATCCATAAACTCCTTAATTTTATGTTTTCATTACTCACCATGTGTGAGCTCTGGGCAATTTTTCAGGACTTCCCCATTGCTCTATTGTAAACAGCTGAGGACCATTTGAACCTGGACAAAGAGTAAATCCCCCCCAATATAGTTTAAACACTGGATTTTAGAAAGACTACTTAAATGTTATAACTAAAAAAAAATAAATACTTGTGAAATTATAGACTAAATCTTTGACTTATAATAATTAATGTAGCTTCATTGACATGAAAGCTAATTTAAAGAAGCCAAGTCTCTGACCCTTTATTTATAAAAACTCATTACACTCTATAGCTAATGTCAAGTGCAACACATATAATGGCACAAATGAGTACACATTAACACTCCAAAAATGATGTACTTGTGGCCTTCTAATCTGCACAGCAGCAACTGCACACATGCATTCTTTAGCCTATGAAGATTATTTCCGAAGAGAACAAAAACATGCCCTCCACAGTTTGGATGGCCTGAAAAAAATCCTTCATAGTGTTTTGGAGCAGTTCAGTTGATACTGGAATCAAAACTTCCATCTTGTATTACCCCTATATCATGCCCAAGTTCTCTTGTTGGCATGCTATCCTACTCAGAATTGGTCAAACATTTCTAAGAGCAAAAATAAAGAGATTTTAGTGCTAAGCATCCTTATGTATCTTCTCTTTTTAACTTACCATAAAGTTCAGCAAATCCATTCATAGGCACTCGTGATGTCCCAGTAACAAACTGCAATAACCGGATACGCTTTTCAGCATCCATCAATAAAACAGCCTAACAACAGAGACAGAGACAGACAGGAGGTTGTATCACACGATAGAGCAGTGTGTGCCAGTGTTCCCTGAAAACTGAGTGCTTGGGTGGCCCTCTAGGAGAGATTCAAATACCGCCCAGCTGCTTAGCAGAGCATCGATAGTCACCAGCATGTCTTTCCATCGGCGGTGCACATCTGCACATGCCTTAATGCACATAATAAAATGTATTTTGTTCATGGAAAGAAGTTAAGAGGGAACATTGGTATGTGCAGTTACCAGACGGATTGTAAAAAAATAAAAATAAAAAACAATTCGCACTGGAACACAAGAAATTAGACAGATAGAATTTTAAAATGTGAAGTTGATTGCTGGCATGACACCAGCTTTTCTAATCTTAGATAAACAGATTTTTTCTAATCTACACTGGGCCAGAACAGAAGATATGTAGCCACTGCTTTGGCAGCAGTGGGGAGTATATACTTAAGTATTTTAGATGAGCTGACTTTCCTTTTAGGACAATAAGTTAAAATAGTTGCTTACCTATACAGTAACTGATGCCTGTGGAGATGTATTGCGTACAATTACATCCCACCATAGGTGTACACACCTACAGTGGAATGTATGTCTGCACAATCACTTAAAGTAGAATTGACATACATAAACAGCTACAGCACTCAAAGTGGGTGAGAATTACATCAGGTCACAGAAAAGCAAACCACAAAGATTCTTTGAAACAGTATAATGTAATTCCTTGCTACTATCTTTCATGGTATAATTTAATTAAACTCACTTCACTGGATGTGCTAAATTCACTACACAGAAAAATTATATATTTAATACACTAAATTATTTTCTAAGGTATTGTTTTTGGTGAGGGGGTTATACCTATATATTATGGCTATTCTAGCTACCAAAAGGATATGAAGAGCAGGATGGCATTTATATATCTTGAGCCCATTGCTTTTACTGATGTGTAAACACATCTAAATTCCTTATCTAGAAAATCATATCACTCCAGATTTATTTGTCGTGTTTTATGTTCTTCTCAATTAGGCACAAGTGCTCACACATTTAAGATAAAAACTCCTGCCTGTCAGACAAAACCGCTCTGCAATATGTAGCAAGTACACATTTATCTTGAAGTGAAAAATTAATGAACGAGGCAAAGAATATGATCTGAGAATCAAAAAGAACAAGCAAACTGCTGTACAGGTAAAATAAAACCTGTATCATGGGTTAGCTTCCTATGCTGCTACGAACGTTTAAGAAACAAATGAAAGGGAAACTAGGTTGGGAGAGTGGAAAGAGAGGGTCATCAAAGAGGAGACATTCCTAAAACAATATCTGCAAAAAAGCAAACAGTAACATTGCAGTGCTCAAGTCTCTACAAGGTTAACCTCAGGATGATTTAATTTGGGATGAAGAATCAGTGCTGAGAGAAATAAGCACAAAAAGACAATGATTTGGCAGCAGATAGCAAATTAGAGCTGAAGTTATAGGTGATAAACAAAACACAGTGTAACTTTGGGCTATACGTGCAGAGACATCAAATCAAGGGGGGAAAAAAGGAAATAGCTTCTTTTTACATATTTCTGATGCAACTGCACTGCTCCTTGTCAAGGAAGTTTTTAAGAAAGTGTAGCTAGACTAAATAATGATCACAGAGACACACAATGACAATACGTAAATATGTGGAGAACATAATCATCAACATTGGAAAGAACTAATTTCAAGTAAAACAAGAAGGCACAGCAGCACAGAAAAGGATAAATAAAAAACCACACAGATTCAAACCTGGTAGCCTGCTAAACAGGATGACAGTACAAGATGTCTGCTTTGGATTTAACTATCTTGAATAATTTTCTATCATCTGCAAACTTTGCCACTTTACTGTTCGCCCCCTATCCAGATCATTAATGATTATGTTGAACTCTGTCAACCAATAAAAGCAGAGTGGTAGTTATTTTATTATCCAGTGCGTGTAAAAAAGATAACTGTTCAGTATTTTCATGGAGAAAAAAAATCTAGACTTCACACCAGAACCTACAGTATCATATCATGCAGCATTCATCTCAGAAATATAAGGATTGTCAGAAGAGAGGATAAATTGTTTTACCTTCCAGAACCACTGGATGACTGGATGATTTGGGCAGTAACCATTCTTGTAGATTGTGTGTTGTCGCCAGTCATTAACATCAACATCTCCAAGGCCACACATTAGTAACTAAGTATGGATGTAATTATTAAGATGTTAATACAAAATGGTACACAAAGAGAAAATAATATATTCACACAATTTTGGGTTAATCCTTCCCACCACTGTTTCCTTCTTTTCAACTGCTATGCAGTGCACACAAATACAATAGGAAACTCTTTTGGCTCTAGTAGAGTTCCTGGAGAATGCTGATCTGCGCAGCTCTATAAGATGAATGTAATTACTATATATGCTCAACAGAACAGGGATCACATTTTTGATGAATCAGCAAGTCACACACATGCTTAAGGGACCTAGCTCAATCTGTGCAAACAGGTTTGTTTGTTTTCCCCTCTGATTTAATGAAAAGCGCCCCGCTCAACTCTAGGTTATAATTATATAAAACACACATTCATTAGACCAAATAAATTAGAGAGAAAATCCACCCGCACCCTCAAATCCATTCAAAACACCATTCACTCCAGAATCTAGCATTTCTAAGAGAAGTGTGCAGTACTCCTTTACTGTCTATAAAACAAACCAATGTAAAACCACTAACCTCCAACTCATTTTCATCAAAAATTTTAATCAAGTCTATAGGAAGGAGTTCTGTGAATCCCTGAAAAAAAAGAGCACAAAACTAATGTCTTCTCAAAAATAGATGTATTGTATCCAGTTTTCATTTGACTGACATTTCTTAATTTTAGAGCAAACTTCCTCAGCATTAACATACACTTCCATACCAGATAGCAAATATTATATCGTGGCATGGAGATTGCATTTATTTTTAAGACAAGGATTTTTTTCAGTTGAGCAGGCCTATGATGAGTAGAATTTTGTCATCTTCTAAAATTTAAGACATTCTGTGGTTTCCATAAGACTACACATGAAATTAGTCTATTTAGCCAATTATTGGGAGGTAGGAACGGAATGAAGCCTGACACCTTGGACTTGGATGCTCTGCAGTGGTAATGTTTGTAATTTTCTAGAAGCCAGAACCTGAAAAAAGTGCAGCAATGGATAGAACTGCAATTAAATTTGAAACACGCAAGGGAGAATAAAGGTAGGATCTGTGAATCGCTGGGTTCCAGGATTCATGGTTGTAGGGCAGCATGACTCAGAAGTAATCACTGCTGCTAGGGGAGGAAGAGAAGGGTTTTGAGAATGGAATATTGATCTCAGTAAAAAGGAAACATTAGGATCATCATTTAGAAATACATCTTGCTTAATTTTACAGCCTTTTAAATTCAAAAAGAAAATGAATGTTACAGGGAAGAAGTCATAGAAACATTTTCAAAATATCACTAACTTTTTATAAATACTGTAGATTTTTTTGATCGTGCAAGATTTTCCTTTGTAACTTAGATATCTCACAAATCCGTAGGAAAAAAAAATCTTGCTCTACCACAATAAATTGAAAAGATTATTTGGCAGAAAACAACTAATGAAGCTTACCTCCAAAAAAGCGTTCATTTGTTTCTGAACTCTGTTTACAAACCTCCATTGGATGACTAAGCTACAGCAGATAAACAAAAACACTTTTATTAGAAGATATAAACAGAATGTTTAAAGATCTCACCTATTCTAATGTTTTCAGTTTCTCATTTATAGCTTCAGTAATCTTTAATCAAATACTGATATAAAATAAACAGAGCAAATCAAGGGGAAAATGCCTCCGATATATGCTTGATTTGTCATGTCTACTAAGCATATGAATATGGCATCTCTTCATTAACTGCTCAAATTTCCATGAGAAGACAAATAATTTGGTTGAGGAAAAATCACCAGAGTATATTACAAAAAAAGTCACTTCAATGACTCGCTTACATTAAAATGGCTTTGGACAGATGTTTAAAATTTTTTAGTTACAACCTTTCCATGTCAGTAGGAGGTTTGCAGTAAAAGTACAGAAGTTAAATGAAATTAATCTTTTTGTTCCTATGGAGATTAAATTTATTTGAAGAAGAACATGATCAAACAGCTTGATCTCTGGCTGAAATAACCTAGAAAACTCAGACTAAGGTTTTTAAAAAGTAGGGCCCTAGATTCTTATTTATCCCTCCCACACAGGCACACTTATTTTTTTAAGGCACCTAAACTGTCTGTCTTTCAAAAGCACTGATACACCCAGGCATTCGCAATGAAGCCAATTAATGGAAATTACTGACTCATTTAGGTATTTAAATATCAACTTGAGGGCCTATCTTGTTTGCTTTCCACACGTAAATTGAATTTGGGATGGTAGTACCCTCCAGTAATTCTGTTAAAATGCAAAACTTCTGAAAGTTATGCCTACAGCCTGAAAGTCTTCTAGAAACTTCCTAGCGCAACTTGTTGGGACTGAAATCAGAATTACTATTATGATTGCTTATTGTAGTGCCATTATAAAAATTACTATTGCATTTTACTATATGACTAGTCAAAAGAGAAGGTATTGTAATCCATTATACTCATGGATTATTACTCTAGAACATTTCAGTGTTGAGTATTTAGGAAGAATCAAATAATTTATCAAAACAGAATTCATCTAAGTGTGATTAGGACCAACAAAATAAGTGTTTGGAATTTTTAAGAGTTTTCTATAGATTAAGTGAATTAACAAAGAAATTCACACACAATAGCACTGATATATCCATCTGCGATAAAACAAGGAATGCAGTTTTTGGGAAGAGGTTTTTTTAAACTTAATCAGCTCGCTGATCTACATTATCTCTTAGGACAGGACAGCTGTAAAATGATTTAAAATAGTCTGCAAACAATAGTAAGTACTATATTTAAACAATCCATACCAAAACAAGGTGTATAGAAACTCAAGCATTTATGCTACTTTTATTACAAAACTAAATCCCTTCTGCATTAACATTGTGTCTTTTTGAATAATACTTTAAACTTTCAATTCCTTCTTCATTCCTTCCCTACATTCACAAACAAACTCTCTTGATTATGAACATATAAGTAACTCAGGGTCATTTAAGGGTTACATTTAAGCTATCACGCAAGCTAGTGAGCAGTTATTGATTTCTACATTTTATTTTTCTGTGGGTAAAGATGATGAGGAAAGCCAAGGTATACAGGCAGTCCCCGGGTTACATCAATCCAACTTAAGTCGGACCTCTAGATACGAATGGGGGGGGGGGAACCTCTAGATACAAACGGGGGGGTGCAGCTAGTGCGGGGTGCCTCCCCCACTGTCGCCACCTCCGGCGGCGCGGGGGGTGCTTCCCCCCAGCAGACCAGGGAGACGTGGAGCTAGCGCCCCCCGCCCAGCAGACCAGGGAGATGCGGAGTGGCTTTTCTCGCCGCTGAAGACGCAGGTGGTGCGCCCCCCCTCAGCAGACCAGGCTTTTCTTGCCACGGAGGACGTGGGTGGCGGGACCGCTGAGATGCACCGTGGTCCCGCTGCCCGC